ACTGCAGGAATTTCCTAGCTCCTTCTTTAAGGCAGGTTTCTGGCTTCTTCGCCTTGCTTTGATCAGCACAGAGGGATATGGCTCACAGCATTCCGAATGGCTTTAGAAAATGGTGCCTCCATAAACCAAAACTGTCCAGTAGGAAGGAGAGAGGTTATTTCACCTCCTCGTTTGACACTGGGAAGCTGCTGCTAGAATAATGGGAGCAGTTCTGGTGCCAACCACTCAGGACGGATATTGTTAAGCTGGGTTACATCTTGGAATGAGGAGTAAGGGTAGGATCTTTAATTCGAACTACCTACTCCGTGCCGCATGTAGCCGTGGGCACGGAGTTCGGACTAAGGGGGATTTAAAAATGGCGGCGCCCAGGAACATGCAAATGAAGCCTGGGATATTTAAATCTTGGGCTTCATTTGCAACTCTGCTTGCCCTCATTACCCTACCTAGCTCGAACTAATGAGCTAGTGTAGACGCACCCTTGGAGAGGCTGCAGGGACAAGCCATGAGGTGGATTAAGGAATTAGAAAGCTCGCCCCATAGTGATTGAGCTCCTTGAGTCAATTAGCTTCATTAGCTTAACAAAGAGGTAAGGTAATGACTTGATTACAGTCTACAATGATTTCCACGGGGAACTAATATTTAATAATGGCCTCTTCAGTCTAGCAGGATCCTATGGCTGGGAGCTACAGCTGAACGCATTCAGGCTAGCAATATGATGTACAGAAATTAACCACTGGAACAATATAGCCCCGGTAGTGGGGGGGCGGAGTCTCCATCCCTGACAACTTTTAAATCAAGGTGGCACTTTTTCTAACAGACCTGCCCTAGAGATCACTTTGGGGATGTCCTATGGCCTATGTTATCCAAGAGGTTAGTCTAGATCCGTGTTTCCCAGCCAGTGGTACGAGTACCCTTTGGGGTACTTGAGAGAAGTCTGTGGGGTACGCCAACACATCTGAAATCTGGAGAACACTGAATATTTAAATTTTACAGCGCTTTATTATTTTTGTACTTTTTACACCCAAAAATTTCATCACCCGCCCGGCTACGAGTGAATTCCTTAAATAAATGTGTTGCAATGGTAGAAAAAAATTGTGTGTGTCTGAAAACTGTAGGTACTGGGGGGATGTATAATTTTTTTTAACGAGGTATTTTATAAAAAAAAAGGTTGAGAAACTGGTCTAGATGACCACAAAGGTCTTTTCTGGCCTTGGGAGCTATGAAAATGCCTCTAGCACCCTCAGAACTTGAAAGCGGCTGATTTTCTCCTAACTTGGATTGTTTTCCTTTCTCCGGTGAGACCTCTAAAGCAAGCCAAGTTTGAAGCTGGACTAAATCATGTTTTTATTTTTCTAGTAGGAGCATCTCAGGAAAAGTGACATCTCCCTCCCTCCCTGTCAGATAATTTAACACCCGCACACCAATTTTCCCAGAAATAACCTTTGGCCAAGCAAACAAAAGGCCAGCCCCCAGGAAATCTGAGTGTGAATGTTTGCAAGCATCTCACTGCTTCCTTCCTCTATGGGGGTGAGGAGGGAAAATCCAGCCCTGCTCAGCTTCATTTGCATATTGATCATCTTACCCAGAATTCCACCTGCTGAATGTTGGTTTTGTTGGCCGTTGTCTGGGTTTTGACATGTAAATGTGGTAATAGACTATCGGCATCATGCTCTTACCTTTCTGCTGTTTATTAGTCTTGCACAGACTGCAGGCTCCACTGCTCCTGCACTTCAGGCAGTTCTTAGCTCAAAGCCCCTCCAACCCTTGTGCTAGAGCTGGGTTCTCCCTGGCTGTGTCTAGATTGGCATGATTTTCCAGAAATGCTTTTAACGGAAAAGTTTTCTGTTAAAAGCATTTTTGGAACAGAGCGTCTAGATTGGCATGGACGCTTTTCCGCAAAAGCACTTTTTGCGGAAAAGCGTCCGTGCCAATCTAGACGCGCGTTTCCACAAAAAAGCCCCGATCGCCATTTTCGCGATCGGGGCTTTTTTGCAGAAAACAAATCTGAGCCGTCTACACTGGCCCTTTTGTGCAAAAGTTTTGCGCAAAAGGGACTTTTGCCTGAACAGGAGCAGAATAGTATTTCCGCAAGACCACTGACAATCTTACATGAGATCGTCAGTGTTCTGGCAGAAATTCAAGCGGCCAGTGTAGACAGCTGGCAAGTTTTTCCGGAAAAGCGGCTAATTTTCCAGAAAAACTGGCCAGTCTAGACACAGCCCCTGAGTTCTGGTGCCGGTCCTCAGCCAGCTTCTCCTGCAGCTGCCCCTTCCAGTTTGCAAGGTCCAGCACACCACCCCTCTCCTACCAGTGTCTCCCCTGCTATATAAGGAAAGAGCCAGCATCCATGCAGGTCTCCTTCCCAAAGTTCATTCCAATTGGCTGGGAGAGAGGGGTGTCTTGCCCCGCCCACTCTAGACCCTTAAAGATACGGTAAAATGATTTTCTCCTGGTTGCCTCCTGGGCAGTTTTTGACCAGCCTGGCTGTTTTTACTACTGCCTTGATGGTTTCTGGCTACAACAGAATGTTCCCCTGTGCCCAGACCCTACCTACATTTGGTTGGAATAACCTTGGTACAAAGTATGGCTTGTGAGAGATCATTTGAAAACTCACAAGTTGCTGGTCATTTTAGCCCTCGTCAACTGCATGTGGCAACATTACATGTGAAGTTACAGGATTCCACTCTATGGTGCACTTAACACAGAATCCAAACTGAGGTTTGGCAAACCGACTGGTCTCAAACAGTGTGCTCGGCTTAATTTGAATGTAAGCAGTCAACAGAGTCATAAAGCAAGAAGGGAAATAAAAGATGCTCCAGCAGGTGAGGAAAAGCAGCAGGGAACATCTGTCTCTGTAGACTGTCTCTTATCAGCTGGAAGTGTTTTTCAAGAGCAGGCCAGACACTATAAAAAGGAGGGACAAATACCACAAGATACCCCTCTCTCTCCCTTCCTGCCCATTGTGTTCATGGTGCCAGATGTGACACAGAAAGCAGCCACTGAACCGATCCTGAGAAGTTTGGTCAGTATGCTGAAAGCATATGGTTCATGTATTATGTTTGGCACCAGTTGTCTTTCTGACGTTTACTTGTTACTCATTTAAAGTCACTCATTGTAGTTTTATTGTTTTCTCTAATCCAGTGCATTTGAACTGAAGTCTCTGGGAGTGGGAAACTGTTGGGGGTAAGATGATGTGTAGGGTTACCAGGTGGCTTCAAAAAAAATACCGGAGACACTTGATCTCAGAAGGGAA